ATTTTTGTGTTGATTAGAAAGAAGAAAGTCTTGTAGATTAAAATAAGAATCTGTGGGTTTGCGTGACGCTGCATCTTGTTGGAAGTGTCTCTTCCTGTGCAGTTCCTTTTGTTTAATTTGGTTGGCTCTGACTCCTCGGGTTTATCTGAGGTTTTCCAGCCCTATTCTTTTGCAATTCATTGTTGGGGATAAGTAGGCTCAAGATTTGTGATAATCAGCGAAGGGTCAAATCCTGCTTCTGGTGTTGGTTGGCAAAATAGCCAATTACTACTTCTACGAGTTTTAAGTTAGTATTTATTTTCTATAGTAATTCATACCTTTCTTATAATCTCTCTAGGTCTGACTGCTATACTACATTTTATGTAGGGCTTAGTTGATGGCTAAGGAGGCCCCATTCCCCCTGCTCCAGGAGGTCGTAACAGTGGCTGTCAGAATTTGTGTGGATGTGGAGCAGGTCTGAAGGTGGCTGTTGTCAATACCCAGGAATTGCACCCACCAGGATGCTGTTGTGTCCCCATGCTTGCAGGTGGAAGCACACCCATGTGTGATGCCTGCACTGGGTCCCCACACTTATCAGTCAGCATCTTTCAAAGGCTCTGAGGTCTCAAACCTCTTACCTGCAAGCAAGGAAAAGGACAAAAACCACTTGGATTTAATGCTTTAGAACTATCATTCACATAACAGAGTGAAGGAGTTTAGGTGATGTTGCATGTAAGGAGATTGTCATTCCAATCTTCTCTACCTCATCCTTCCCCTTGAGTTTTTGCAGTGTTGATGTTTGCTGCTGTGTACATTTCTGTTTTGGATAGATGGCTTGTGCCAGAGTCAAGAGAGGAATTGTTTGAAAGTATTACAAGCAGGCTGGAGTGGGAGAAAGAAGAAACTATTATGGCAAAAAGGTGTTTTGATACAGTGTGAATTGTCAGGTGTGGTCACTTCTCTTTTGTCCGTGCACTGCTTCAACACTGTCTTGCCTCTCCAAAGCCTTTACAGCACTGTGTGTCTGTAGGGCTCAGAAACACGATCAGGAGCCTGGTTGTGGTTCATGGATTGCCTACTGAAAATGACAAGAGTAGCCACCATTGTTTGTAAGCTTCTGGCGTAGGCCTGGTGGCTGGGGGACAAGCAGCATCAGGAACCTGTTCAGGATGGACGATGTGCCCCACATGGCTGTGAGATAAGGCAGAGCCCTGGTTGCGTGACTGTGAGATAACGTCTAGCACACAGCAGCTCTGACCGCAGGTACAGACTGCAGCAGTTGGATGGGGAGACAAGGGGGAAAACCCAAAAGAATTTGAAAATCTACTTGAAAAAAAAAAAAAAAGTCGTAGCCTCTGGCTGAACATTAAGCTAGAAAAAACTGCATACGTAATGTTCAAGTAACAAGCCATAAAAGAGGCCACACTGCAAGATGAAAGATTTTTTTTGACGTGATGTACTAGTGATGAAAACTGCCAGGGGATGTCGCATTTGATGACTTAAGGATGGAATTTCCACATTGCTTCTGAGTCCTCTTGGTTACGCGGTGACGCCAGCCCTTAAGGGTTGCTTTAACACTGATGATTTTGTAACAGCTTTTAGCATGCAGCCACTGCTTTTTATTTTGGACATTGGCACTTCTGTCTCAGGAGTGAATTTGATGCTTCTATGTTTCTGTCAAGGAAATGTGAGAAACCCTTTCCTGTTCCTATACAGTCAGGGGAGTCCAGGGACAGAGAATGGCTTGGTTATTTCTTTGAATGAATGAATGGAAGTGCCCAGCAATGTTATGTAGTCTGGTGCATTTATGGATGCTCTTTGGAGTCCAAAGATGGACTTCATCTTATGAAAATGAGAAGCTGTAAGTAACACTGTATGTTTGCAGTTCCTAGTAATGGGGCTGTGATTTTGATTCTGGTTGCTCTCAGCATAGAGGCAAGCAGAACTGTACTGGTAGGTAGCAATGCAATAACAGAAGAAGTTGGCATTTCTGCAAGAGATTAATGTGGCTGGTAGTTTGCTTTAACTTAACACCTAAAGATTTGCTGCTCCTCTACAGATGCATTAGGCCAGTGTGTTTAAAGTTATTTAAATGAGGCTGAGGAGGAGGTGTATGTCTTCACCCTTAATTTCACAATTTAGGTTTTCTGGTGTTATTGGTTTCTCAAGGGTCAGTTCTGAGGCAAGTCACCTGAGGTGATTCTTATTGTCACTTCTTTGAGAACTTGCTGAACTATTCATTATAAACATGCAATATGTACCCCCTTTAAGTAACACTTAAGCATTATGGTATCACAGTGACTAACAGGACTCTTAATGCCTCTTTCATTCCTGGAATGGTTTGCAACCCCTAGTCAAATATTAGATAAGACATGGTGAGTTTCTCTGTTGCATCAAGTTTTGTGATGTGACAAGTTTAAAAACGTGATGTTCTAGGAGAAGTTCATAACTGCCAGCAGGAATTGCTTCTGTCAGCCCGAGTTTCATGATAAATTGAGGTGTTCTTGTGTGCATGTGCCCCCTGGGTCATGGTTATTTGCAAAGCTTGTTTGAATAAGTTACAGCAAAGCATATATCAGACTTTCCCGTGCAGCTGTTATTCTTTGGCTCTGGTTTAAAAAGTGTGCTTCTCAGCTTCCTGTGCAGTGTCCTTAGGCTCTGCAGCATGCTGCGTGTGATGAAATCAGGGAATTTCAGCAAGCTAGAGGAGGAAGTGAACGTTCAGTTCTCTTGCATGGTCATGTTCAAAATTACCCTGATAAAATGGGGGGGGCAAGTTCAAATAACTCCAGAAAATGACTGTAATAGGTACAACATCACTGAATTTTTAGAAATAGCAAATCTCCAACAGCAGTATTTTGTGGACGAAGTCCTAAGGCAGTTACACTGCCTGCATGGGTTTTGAAGCAAATGCCATGGTCTAGAGCTGGCAGGTGGTTAACCAAAGGGAATTTCATTTTGCTATGGCAATAGGAAACCACAAAACATGCATCTTCCTCCAGGTCATGCAGTGGGCATACAGAGAAAAAATCCTGGGGGTGGAGGATGTGGAGGAGATGCTAAAAATTCATATCTACGTTGCTCTGGTCTATTCAGAGAGGTGGGTGGAGAGTGATGTGTGGCACCACAGGTATCTTGAATTGCTATTCTGTCTTGTTAGCCAAATCAAGGTGCATTGTCAGACTGTACTTAAGTCTACCTACTGTAAAGGGCTTTTCTGAGTACTTTCACCAAATGCTGTGCTCACTGGTGTGTTTGCGAGTCAATTAGAATGTCTTGCTCAAAAAGGTCCCTCTTAAAAAAAAAAAATTGATACAGCAAACTTGAGTTTTAGGCTGTATATTTGTGCTGGTGGTATATTAGGATCCACTCTACTGAATAAACACATTCTCCTGAACAGACAAGCTGGAGGTGTCTTGCAATTAAATAAAAATCTAATTGTTAATCTTTCAGATGTTTTATAATTCGTGGGAGTAATTTAAGAGAAGAAAGCAGTGTAAATAAATGCAAGAAGCCAACCATCTGCTTGCTTTGTATCATAGGCATATCTGTCCATTCAGTGGAATTGCTGCCTGGATTGGCCCTTTTTGGGCATATTCTGGGAAAAATTGAGTAGGGGTACCTGGATCCATAAGGCTGTTTGTAACATCCGGCTCTTGGCACTTTGTCTTTCAAACGGTTGTTGCTATATGTGCACTAGCAGATGATTCGTGGTTGTAAGAGTGACTTATGTGATCTGCTAATCTGACTTTTGTTCTATCAGTTTTCCAGATATTCTGATCTTGTTAGAATGAGCAGAATTAAAATTAATTACACAAATCCCCAACCGGAGTCCTTGACCTTGCAGTAGGAACCTCCCAGAAACAAAAAGCAGTATGGAGCACTGCTCCCTTTCTGTGCATGCTAATATACAATTGTCAAAGGGGCAATCCTTGGTAAAGGTCCTAGGGCTCAGCCTCTGGCAGAGGCCAGTAATGAATAACATGGAGAGGACTGTTTGGCCTGTTGCTAATGTAGCTTCCCTGAGGATTCCCTGCTGTTTTTCTTCAATTAGTGGTTGAGGGACTTCCTCAGACAGATGACGCATCCTCACTTGTGCTTACAATCCAAAAGACCTTTCTTCCTTCAATTCATCTATTCATTTTTCACACCACTCTTCCTTTTGCTACTCCAAACATCCCGCTGCAGTGAATTCCCAAATCTAATCCTTTTCATGCAGTAATTCTGTGGGGTTTTTTCCAGTGGATGCCAAATTCTTGCATGATGAAAACCAACGACAAATAATCCTCCGTTTACCTTCTTGTTCACTCATGGTTTTATAACTTAAGGCATTAGTCATCTCTCTTCCTACCTAAAAAGGCTGAGCTTATTTAGTCTTTGTTTGGCAACCTTTCTGCATATGTTTCTTTTTGTTCCCTTTTTCTGTGTTCTATGTGTAGTCTGTATCTCATTTGTTAGAATGTGACCCAAGCTGTTCAGTTAACAATGAGAAATGGATTTATAATTACCACAGTGTCTTTGGCTTCCGACTCTGACCCTTCCCTGATAATTCCCCGCTCCACTTTGTCTTGCAGTGGCATCTGATCCCTGCCTTGTTATCTTCAGGGAGCTTAGAACTCAGATCTTGAAATGCCAAAGGATGTAACATTTCCTGGAATGCTCATGACAGACATTCTTCCTCTGAGTACTCGTTTAGACTTACAGTGGAAGGAAATCCCAGTAGATAACAGTTAAGACATGAATCTGTGGTTACTCTCAAGGTGATTTACTAGTGAAGGAGAAGATGTCTTTATATTGTTGCTATTACAAGTTACAGTATCCATTGCCTTCAGATCCATATGTGCTCATTTTCAGCTTTTTCCTCTATCCCTTCCCAGTTCCTGAGCAAAGGAGGGGAAAGTCTTCCCTAAAAATGTTTATGTTCCTTTTCTGATTTCAAAGGAGGACACTTGAGTCTTCTTCAGAGTTCTGATAATTTGCCTGATTACAAAAATAAAATTGCCTTTTTTTCTTTTTTTTAGGAAAAAAATAGTTTTGATTTTAAGAAGAAAAGAGCTTAAAAGAAAACAGGAAGCTGATGTTGGCAATCTGATCTGTGCTGCATGAGGAATCTGATTTCAAAAGCCTTCCCAAATGCAGGCTTAAGGGATGCAAACTGCCATGACTTTTGCAGCAATTGAGGAATTCTGCCATTGGCTCACACTGCTCTCTCTTCTGTAGGAAAGTGAAAACATAAGACTTGGTATGTTGATGTTGTGTGCTTATGCATTCTTGATCCTACAAAAAGTACAAAAAAAACTACTACAAAAATGTTAGAGTCCACCCAGAAATGCAGGTGTTCAGCAGAGCTCTGGAAGCTGACAGCAGGAGGAGGTCACCAGTGCTATGGCTGAAGCTTTTCATGAATTTCTGTAGAATCTTAATGAGTTCTAAAGAATGCTGGTCTTATTTCTGAAACCATTCATTTTTATCTCTTTTACAATTAACAGGCTAGTAAAAGGTAGCTTATTTGTACAGAGCCTTGTATTGAAACAGCGCATTAAAAAAAAAAGGCTTCAGTCTGCAGCACTTGACTTGGATTTCTGAAGAATTCTGTCACCTTCCATCCACTCTGCTGTGTCTGTGGAGTCACTTACTGTGACTGAGGCAAATGCATGTTGTGTTTCCTTCTATTTCACCTGCTTTTACTCATTGTTTTCCTGGATGATTTTTTTTCTGGCATTCCTCCTGAACACAGCTAAGGCACATGGAAAACAAACATGACTGGTGACAGTCAACATGGCTTCACTAATGGCAAATTGAGCCCAACAAATTTGGTGGCCTCCTACGACGCAGTTATAGCATGGGGTAAGGGAAAAGCAATGGATGTTATCCAGTTGGACTTATGCAAAGTGTTTGACGTTGTCCTGCATGACATCATTGTCTTCAAATTGGAGAGACGTGGATTTGATGGATGGACCACGCAGTAGAAAAGGAATTGACCAGCTGGTCCAAGTGGAGACCAGTGATGAGTGGCATTTTCTCAGGAGTCAGTTTTGGAACAGACACTGTTTAATGTCTTTGCTGGCAACATGGAAAGTGAGATTGAATGCAGTCTCAGAGTTTGTCAACACCAAGCTGTGTGGTGCGGTTGATACACTGGAGGAATGGCATGCTTTCCAGAGGGACATTAACTGATTTGAGAAGTGAAGTTCGACAAGGGCAAGTGCAAGGTCAAGCAATACCTGAGTCAAGCAATACCAAGCACAAATACATGCTGGGCAGAGGTTAGGTTGAGAGCAGCCCTGAAGAGAAGGACGTGAGGTGTTGGTTGATGAGAAGGAGTACGCTCTTGCAGCTTGGCCAACGTTATCCTGGGCTGCATCAAAAGAGGGGCAGCCACCAAGGAAGGGGAAGGGATTCTCCTCTTCTGCCCTCATGTGACCCCATCTGAAGTACTGCCTCCAGGTCTGGGGCCTCTGGCACAAGGAAGATATGGAGCTGTTTGAGTGGGTCTGGAGGAAGGCTAAAAAGATGATCAAAGGGCTGAAGCACCTCTCCTGTGGAGACAGGCTGAGAGAGCTGAACTTGTTCAGTCTAGAAAAGAGAAATCACAGGGAGTGTACTTTTTTTTCACACCTATTGTTTTGCATTAGTCACCAATGTTGGTTAAAGTCTAAGTTATTAAGATGACTTCACTGCCAGAGTGTTGATAAGAAGGAAGGTGAAAACTGATAGGAGGGTGCTACAGCTGAATCTGACTCTGCATGTACAGTAGCTGTTCTTATATCTGTCTGCCCAAAGGTGGTGGTGCCTTGTGCAAGGGCCAAGAGAAAAGAAATGAAAGGTTCAGCCTAGGTATGTGGAGAAGGAAAGAGGTAGCTGCAAAGAGGAGCAGAGTAGCTGTCAGAAGGGTTTCAGCTTCTTGAAACGTGCATCAGAGGAATGACTTAGGTCTGCACAGCTGGGGGCTTGGGGAGGCTGGAAGAGCAACCTTCCCAGTCTTTTATTCAGTTCAGGCAAATAAGGAAGTTAATTTGCTGGATGTCCTGAGTAGTGCGTGGTGATACAAAATGTTCCTCTGTATTTTATATGAGTTTGAGGAAGCACAGCTTCCCAGCTCTTAGGCAGGCAATTTGCAAACATGGAACAAGTCATTTCCAAATTGCAGTATTTAGGGAAGCAATTAAAACAGGGTTAAATATTTGAAATAACTAAAAATGCCAGGACTGGAGATACTTGTGAGGTTTTGTGAAGCTAATTTAATCTTGGAGAAACCTGATCAAGAAGAACAAAAACATTTATTGAAACTTAACCTCAGGTGAACTGATGGCTTTGCCAGGAGAAAAGCTGAAATAAAGTTTGTGTGAACCAGGGAGTTGGGAGAGCCACGCTGACATTCCTTCCTGTGCCTATCAATGTTGAGGAGTTCAGGACCGAACCAGAAGGCATCCCTGAGCTGCCTACTGGCCACAGTAGTGCCCTACAGCAGAAAAGGTTTGTGCCCTGGCACCAGATGCAGACATGCACTTGTACTGACCCCAGACACGTGCTGTTGTGTTAACTTGCACATGTGGATTTGGACGATGCGTTGTGGGCAGTGCTGTGAGCAAGCATGGGAGGCAATGCATGGCCTGGCTTCCTTCGAGTTCAGAACAGTTCTGTGTGATGCATGCCGTGTCTGAGAAGGGTAGGGTAGCAGCAAGGCGCTGCTGTGCTTGGTGTCAACTGAAATGGAGGGAGGGATTTCTCCATCCCTGGGAGTGCCTGAACTGGGCTTGGAGATCACAGAATCACAGAATTGTAGGGGTTGGAAGGGACCTCCAGAGATCATCGAGTCCAACCCCCCTGCCAAAGCAGGTTCCCTACAGCAGGTCGCACAGGTAGGCATCCAGGCAGGTCTTGAACATCTCCAGAGAAGGAGACTCCACCACCTCCCTGGGCAGCCTGTTCCAGTGCTCCTCACCTCACTGTAAAGAAGTTATCACACACATTGGTGCAGAACTTCCTATGCTGCAGTTTCCGGCCGTTTCCCCTTGTCCTGTCTCCACTCACCACTGAAAACAGTCTGTCCTCGCCATTCTGCCCCCCACACCTTAGATACTTATAGACCTGCATCAGGTCCCCTCTCAGTCTTCTTTTCTCAAGGCTGAACAGACCCAGTTCACTCAGCCTTTCTTCATAGGAGAGATGCTCCAGGCCCTTCACCATCTTTGTGGCCCTCCGCTGGACTCTTTCCAAGAGATCCCTGTCTTTTTTGTACTGGGGAGCCCAGAACTGGATGCAGTGCTCCAGATGAGGCCTCGCTAGGGCAGAGTAGAGGAATCGGGGCTGTCAGCTGTCACGGGGCTTCACAACCTTCCTGGAGAAGGGATGTAGATCCAAGCCCAAGCAATGGCAGGAAAGATAAAATTTTCCTGGGAAGACTGCAAGGAGTTTTCTAATTGGGAAAGCTGATGACATTCGCTGGGCTGGAAGGAGACTGTAGCTTCCATGCCTTCAGCAAGGGTACAGCCTGGCTTTCCTAAGTCTTCTGGCCTGTTGTCGTAGTTTCTAATCTTTTCCTTAGAAACTCCCTCATTCTTTTGTCTGTTTTCCCCATGTTTTTCTTGATGTAGAAGTTTCAAAGCACAGTGCAGCTGCACTTTGCTAGTGCTATGTAGCACGGAGGGATTTCTTCATATCCAGCTGACAAAGCTCCTGTTTGCTTTCTGCAGTTTGATGTCTGACTTATTTACAGCAACCTGTGACTCATTCCAGCCTCTGAGCTGCTCTAAGGAATTGCCCTGTTAATGGGGTTAATGATTGTCCTGTGTTTATGCAATTAATGAGTCCTGAAATTACCTAACATTGCAGTGTCCTTGATGAATTGTCTGCATTTTTCAAACCAGCTGTCCAGCTTGCCAAAGCTGTTCTGATTTGTCAACTGTGTGCTAGCACCTTCTGTTAGCTTGAGATCTGCGTGTGAATTTTAACATGTCTGACCTGGCTCCATTGGTGGTAATGGAAATATTTGTGTATTTGATCTAGGACCAATCCTTAAGTCACCTAGATGATATATTGTTCAACTGATTGGCTTTTGCACACCTCAAGGTAATACTTTTCTCAGTTGACTTATGGAAAATGCCATGTCAAAAAGGTATGGACACTCTCGGTCTCATAATTGTATGATTCTATGATATCTGTTCTTTTTCCTGTTCCTAGGAGCTGCTATTCTGTAAGAGGAAACTATCAGTTTGACCATGAGTAGCTGCCAGCATGGATTTGTCGAGAATAAACCACTTCCTTGCTGTCATGTAGGTACTTGATTTCACATGCTTGCTCTTTTCTGGAGGTAAGGGATTTGAAGCTAGACAATTTTTTCCTTTGTTTTAAAGAGGTTTGTCCTTTTTGATCTCTGGACTTTCATCTGTCCTCCATCGCTTCCCAAACAAGACCACGTATGTTTGAGAATTCAAAACATTTCGCCAGCTTCTCATATGTGCTTTGGTGATGAATAGTAGCAGCACAGCCATTTGGAAAAATTAATTTATCCCTAGAGAAAGATTCCCTAGTTTAAACTCATGCTCCTCCATTCTCACCCTCACTTGTTAAGTGCTGTTAACACACAGAGGAGGCAGAGTAGTTGTACATTTCTCGTATTAGGTATCAATACTTTTCTCTTGGTTAGAGTCCAGCTTCTTCCTTTGTCTTCCTCTTTCAGTTTAATTCTGAATGTAATATGTACCCAAATGAGACTCAAATGAACACACACAAGATCATTACAGTTATATATATATGTGTATATATATATATATATATATATATATATATATATATATCTGTCATTACGCTCAGCAGTTTGGTAACACTGATGCTGAGCAGCATCTTTCCTTCACTGTAAGTATTGGCACTTCTAATCCTGGGTTAGAAAACCATGGCAGTTCTAGTTTCTGAGTTAGACAAAGATCAGCATCACTGGGTCACCTCTGTGCCTAGGAAAAGCACTCAGGCTGCAAGGCTGTGTTCGTGATGCACTTGCAAACTCATGTGAGAGTTTCCAATGTGACTGCATGGTCTCAGTCAATGCTGCTATTTCCTCACCTTGATGAACAAAGGAGTCACATCAACATCTTAATACCGATGGGGGAATACTACAAAAACTGACAACAAGTGTAAGGGATTTTTGTTATCGCCCACTAGTTTGCACATGATCTGGTGTGATTCATAGTCTTCACAAAGTGGGAGAGCAACTGCCAAGGACAATTTTAGAAATATCATCCAATAGAGTAGTGAGGAAATCAGGCACAACAAACAAATGGAAATAATTGCAGTACCCCAGGTTTACCATAAAACCTTCAAAAAAAACAAAAAGCAAACAATACAGAAGCTGCAGACTGTGAAGCCAGAAAATAAAGGATAACAGCTTTTAAAAAATGCAGCAAGGACAGAGATTTATAGTGAAAACATAGTGGTGGGGCTTTTACCTTGCTGTAGTTTGGGGACCCAAATTATTGGATAGGTATCTGCTTTCAACCTCATAGGGTTTCAAGGCTCTCTCTTTGGACCAGTCTGTTAGCTGGATTTTCTAAGTCTGTGCATTGAGGAATTTTTTTAGTGAAAAAAAAAAAAAAAAAAAAAAAAAAAGTGGAGGGTTTATTTTTCTCTTCACTGTCTACCCCTGCCAGCAATGGGCAGTGTCATGATCCTTACAAGCACTTGAATTAGTGTTTGTCTTGGAAACTATGCCAAAGAAGCCATTTTTCTGATTGTTAAGCACCAGTTCCTTTCGTAACTGTGTAATTTTGGGGTTCTGTTTCAGCTGAGATTTTAGGCATCTCCTCTGTATGTCCATAGTATGTCTATTTATTTGTAGATCTTGAATGTTGTGTGTGGCAGTTGAATAAACAAATCTCAGGATGAGGTCTGAGTAAAGGAGAGAAAATAGATCTGTTATTTATTGTTTTTAAAGCATAACAATTCACTGAAATCAGCAGGTGCTTCGTTTTATTTTTTGTGCTTTGTTGTTTGGATGGTTTTGCTTGAACGCGATCCAGACAAATGAGGATGATCAAAACCAAGCTGGCTGCAGCCCTTGGTGACCTGCTGTAGGTGAGCCTGCTTTTGCATGGGGTTGGACTTAAACCATCTGCAGAGCTTCCTTCCAACCTTCCTTCCTTCCGCCCAACTATTCGGTGGTTTTTGCAAACTTGGCATGGATTCTGAGTCATAAATTTGATTTTTAAAAAATTATTCACATTCAGGCCTGCTGTCTTCATTCAGAAGTTCCAGTAATTTTACTTCTGTATTTCACTTTGATGCTGGCTCCATGCCACTGACCTTTTGTGAAGTTCAATTCTTATCACTCTCTTTGCATGCAGCAGATTTTTCCAATATTAATTTAAGGAATGCCTGAAAACTGTTACACTGCTTATTTCCTTAAAAAAAAAATCTTTTTTTCAGTCACCCTAACTTTTCACACCAGTGAACTTTTGTAACCTTTTGGTGTGTTTATATTACCCTCTTTTATATTTGACTTCTCACTTGCAAAGGGCTGGAGTGGAAATCCTAGGTTCCAGACATGAGAACAAGTTGCCATCTTCTGAACCCACACTCTGTGGCTCTTGCTTCACAGAGATTCTGGCTTTCCAGCAGCTACTGAACCTGAACTGCTTATGCTGACAGCTGAGCTTGTTAACTGCCTCAGCTCTAAGCCTCTTGTATAGCTAGCTCAGACTCTTCATGCTTAAGTAATAGCAGTGTTAATTGGAGTAGTTGCAGCTGTACAAGCAACAGTGGAACTACAGGTTGTGCTGGCATGATGCACTGAAAAGCTGTTACAGGTTGCTCTCTGAACTCTTCAGTGGTTGAACTTTTGCTTTCCGAAGCAACACCTATTTGGAAATACAGGTTAATGAGATGTTGATATCCTGATCACAGCCTGATCAAGGCAAACAAGGAATGGAATGGTGTTGGCCATGCTGGAGGTGTTCTTGTTCTGTATCTGGGGTTTTCAGAGGTTCTCAGTGCTGCTCTGCACAGAACGATCATTGCAGTGATTCAAGTACATAACCCCAAACATTGGCATGGCCTTAAACAGTAGTGGTGCATCAGGCTTTAGAAATAGCCTCTTCAAACTGGGCACATGGAATCTGCAACTGCCTGAAGGTGCAGGTGGATGTGACTACTTGCTGGCAGTCACAAAAGCCGGCTGGGACGGCTTCGGTGCAGTCACGTTTCACAGCTTGCTTGTTCAGTGTCTGCTGCACGGAGGAAAAACATAGCTTGCTTGAGACCTGTGGGAAGAGGAGCCTCAGCAGAGCCTGTAGCTTCACTCTGTGAAGTGGCTACACAGGTGGCACGAAACTCCAGTTTTTTGCATGCTCAGTCAAGGACTTTCTCAGTCAAATCATAGGGGTGCTTCACTGAAAATGCATCGAAGTAGTTGCAGTATTTGCACAAAGCTTGTTCTGACTTCTGTTAGCACACTCTATAAGAACTGCTGGATGCTTTTGTGTTTTGCCATGAAGCTCAGTGCTCAAACAAATCACAGTCGTGTTTTCCTTGAAAGCTACACAGTACAGGAGGAAAGTGGAATTGGACTTTTCAAGTCTTGTCAAATCTTAATCACTTAATATGAAGCCTTATAGCAGTATTAACATATTATAGCTTGAAGACCAACTGCTCCAAGATGCGGAAGAATCACTCTAAGCACGCATACCTAGCTTCTTATTTATGGGGATCCTTTTCTCTAGGTACTGGGGGTATTATGTACCCATTTCATTAGGGAAGAAACTTCCCTATTAGAAGTTATCTATTCTGAGTATTTGTTTTAAAACTATCGCAGCAAAATAGAAATACTTGCAAATACTCTCAGTGCAAGTGAATCTTTGCAGGGATTCACTCCAAAGCTGACTGCAAGGAGGAGAAAAAAGCAGCGCTCAGCCTGTGAGAACTGGTTTTACTGCTTAAGTATTTCTCAATCTTATTGCTGCAGCGTGTGCAAGAACTGATATTAGTGCATGCAAGAGTATAGCAGAGGCAGAAGGGAGTGTGTCCCCACGCTGTTTTGCAACACTGCACTTTTGAAGTTCCTCGGCTGTGCTAAGAGGATGTGGTTATTCAGTTTTGCTGCTGTTTCAGGAAGGATGGAGCTCCAGTAAACTTTCCCTGAAAAGTCACCTGGAAACCACAGAGATAAAACTACCTGAGAAGGGAGATGCCACCAGTGGGAGATGGGAACATAGGGCTAGATGAGCACAAATCCTGAGTTCAGGAGAATGATGAGACCAATGAAGTGCACCCTGCATGGGAGCACTGCACAGCACATGCTATTTCTGCCCTGAATGGTTATTCTTAGGGGCTGAATCCTTTGACATTCTGTGGGAGGGGATGCATCACTGCAAAGGGTATGTAAGTGCAACACAACAAAGCCTCAGAAGAGTTCATAAAATCAGTTGCCACTCATTCTTGGGGTGGTGGTGGCTGTGCTAATCAATTTTTTCCACTGCATGCTGTGCCTTCCCAGGAGCTGCCACTGTGCAGCAAGTTTAGGGGATTCCACATCTGGTTATCAAAGGATAGATCTTGTGTGGGAGGGGGAAGCCTGCCTGCACCCCACACTGGCTCCTCATGTCAGCCACAGAGATTCATCTAAAAAGATGACAGTGTACAGAGCTGCCTTTAAAGCACTGTGCTGCGGTCCCACTGCCTTGTCTCAGTGTCACCTGCTTGTTTTGCTGTCTCTTTCAAGCAAGCTTCACCATATTCTCCTCTGACTGGCTCCACTCTATGGCGGGCAGTGAGTGCAAAGCAGGGTGTTGCAGAGCCTCTCTGCAGAGATGAATTCCTGCCTTGCGCGTAGTAGTTTTCAGGTGTCAGAGGATGCCTATTATTCCCAGCACAATACCTGGAACAGTTTTGGAATCTCTCTTTCAGTGATAGAAGACTGGCAGTGAGAAGATGGAAGACTAAAGACTAAATTTCCTTTTTGTCTTTGCACAAGCACCAGACTTGTGCACCTGCATCCCTCTTGCCTGATTTCAAGCCATTGCATTCCTCTCTCCCTCCTCTGTGCTGCCGTGTTGCTTTCGTTTTCATCCCATCACCTGCTCTTCAGAGGGCTGTTTTTCATTTCTGAAGCTAGGCCTCATCTCAGTCACAGGTGCTGTGTGCTGCAGCTTCCTGTCTGGGACACTGACTGGTGCTGCTCTTCTGGGTTGTGCTTGCTCTCGCAGGAGGCCAGAACTCATCTTAGCAGGGTTTCTACACGCTCTGGACTCTTGTACCTCTTTCCCCCACAAAGTGCTCACCCAG